AAAAAGTTACCCTTCTATATTTATTAAGGGGTATAGTTCTTTTTTCCTTTTCTATAGTAGCTTTAAGTCTATTACTACTTTAGGTCTAATATAATTACTTTCTGCTTTATAATCTATCTATATATTTAGCTTCTTTCCCTTAATCCAGACTTTTAATATTAGGCAGTTTAAGTTATCTTAGTTTATAACTCCTAGAGCTCTTTATAGTTCTAGTTTATCTAGTCCTGGCTCTTTATATATCTATAGCTCTATTATAGATAGTATATAACTTTTCCTAATACATTTTAGTAAGTTTATTTACAGTTACTATTATAATAGCCTTCTCTATCTATATAGTTATTAGTAAATTCTTTATTATATAGTTATTACTAGAGGTATTCTTTTAGTTCTATATGCTATTTTTTAGGCGTTTTTAGGTATATTTTATATTTTTCTAATTTTATTATTTGCCTATTATATAGTTCTCTAATATTATTAAGGTAGCTTTAATAGTATTTTTCTAAGTCTATATATCCTTTAATATAATCTACTTAGCTTAGCTCTTAATATTCTTTTATAAGTTCTTATTTATATTTATTATATATCTTCTATACTGCTTTTTATATATTAGTAGGCTTTCTTTTACTTAAGTATAGTTATTAAAAAAACTTTATAATTACTTTAAGGTTTTTATTTTCTTTTTTATTATCTTATAGCTATTATAAATTAGCTATTTTTACCTAGTTTAGTTCTTCTATAACCTAACTAGGTATTACTTTTCCTTTATTTATAATAGTTATTTTATCTATAGTAGATATTTCCTATTCTTTAATTTACTGAATTAGTTAGGCTATTTCTTCCCTTTTTCCTAGTTTTTATATAAATTATCTATTTTTATTAGTTAAGGAGTAATATTTTACAAAGATATCTCTTATATAGAAGCTGCATTTTTATTATTAGTTTTAATTAATTTCCTAAAATAGCATTATATTAAATTATAATTCTACTACTCCTAAGTTATTATACTAAAAGTATATAATATATCCTATTAGTTCTTTATATATATATAAGTTTAAGTTTAGGTTTCTAGGAATAGCTATAAGAAAATAATTATTATTTAATTTTTCTCCCTTATAGGCCTTATATTAGTAATACCTATAAGATGCCTAAGAGATTTCCTTATATTAATTATTAATAAGAAATATCTTAATATTATCCTTTAAATTAAACCTAGGTTTTTTATATAAGGGGTTTATAGCATTATTTATATAATAGGCTTATATAATTACAGCTTCTAACTTATTAATATCTATATATTCTTTTACTTCTTAAATATACCTTTTATATAGTAAATTATAATACCTATTTCTATTTTTATTAAATAAGGGGGTGTAAGTTTACTGCTATTTTTATTTAAGTTTCTTATCTTCCTTATAGAGATATCTGGCTATTTATCTTACTGCTCTACCTCAGTATCCTATACTTCTTACATATTAGTAGTAATACTTATATATTTTATTACTTACTTCCCTTTTAATTTATACTTATTTTTCTTTCTTCTAAAAGGCTATTTAGTTTTCTAGTTCTTTATAAAGGGCTTCCTCTATTCTTTAAAGCTTATTCTTAGTAAATCTTAGTATTTTATATCTTATAATATATCCTTTTTAATATCTACTATAAGAGTTATTTTATCTTATTATATAATTATCTTAATAAGGATATTATTAATTAATTATAAAATACTTAATTATTTTTATATTTAAGGGATAATTACTTTTCCTTTATTAAATATTCTTAAGACTTTTACTTCTTTATGTTTTTTATTATCCTTTTTATTTTATTATCTTTCTCTTTATTTTATTAAAAGTATTCCTTTTACTTTAAGTCCTTTATCTTTTAGTAGTAATAGTTATTATTAATTTCATTCCTTTAAAGTCTTTATTACTTTGTTTCTTTTTCTATAAGTTCCTTCTTTTCTTATTCTTTATAGATTTCTAATAGCAGTTTTATAAAGCTTAATTTATAATATAAAACTATATTATATCTGCTTTAAGTTATTTTAAGTATCTTAATATATATAGCTATTTAGGGGTCTTATATTTAAGTTAGTCTTAAGGCTTACTTACCTTAATTTAGTTTTTTTAGTTTCTTTAGTTTAGGCAGATATATACTATATATCTAAACTAGTTATAGTTATAGTATTTAACTTTAGATATATCTTAGGGCTTTCTATTTCCTTATTAGGTAGCTCTAAAAACTATAAGTCTTGCTTTAGTTTTATAAGAAGTATTATTATATCTCTTATGCCTCTAATTAGTATTATTTTATTATAGTTATTATTTTATTATAGGTTATACATTCTACTGCTTTATTTAGCTTACTTTTTATATCTTTACTTATATTACTAGTTATTAATTTTAACTATAATAGCAGTAAGGTTATTTAGGTTAATAGGCTTAGGTCTAATATTAATTATAGTATCCTTAATTTTAGACTTTAGTCCTAAGTATATCTAGGCTATATATACTTCCTTATTTTAGTTAAGTCTAGATACCTAATAGTAATATTTAGTAAGGTAAGAGGCTATAAATCCCTTTTATTTAAGTTATCTAATCTTTAGTTTTATAAATTGCTTTTTATCTTATATCCTAAGTATATATTATATCTCTTTTTTAAAGTCTTTATAATTATTATAAATATAATTAGTTATATCTTTTTATTTTTTATAAGGATTATTAATATAATTATATATAATAAGTTTAAACTATTAAAATACTTTATCTTTAAGGAATTTTATTATATATTATACCTTAAGTTTATTTATAATAAACTAGGTTAGGTAATATAAATAATAACTATATAAGCTAGTAAGGAATCCTTAAAGTTTATTAGTATTTCTATTATATAAATTAGGCTATTATAATTTAAGGATTTCTTTAAGGTCTTTTCTAGTAGCTATAAGTACTATAGTATATTTAATATATTCTTAATATATTTTCTTACTTTTCTTAGCTTCTTCTTTAAGTCCTTTAATAAGTTTAATAAGTTAGGCTACCTTGGCTTCTAAGGTTTTAATCTTACTTTTAGCTATATTAAAGTTATTTTTTATATTCTTTAAAAGATTATTATATTATTAGCTAAGTCTCTTAAGCTTTTATTTAAGTTTTATAACTTCCCCTTTATAAATACTTAAATAAGCAGGAGTAATCTCTTTTTCTTTTTTATTATTAGTTTCTATAAGAACGTCCTCTAGGTTAAGGAGAATCTCTTACTATAGTAAGTACTAGGCATATCCTAAATTAAAAGACTGGCTTAAAGTAGCAGGTATTATTACATTAGTATTACTTAGTATTATATAATATAGTCTAAATAAGAGCTATTAATATATAATAGTTATAGTTTCTAAGGGATAAACTAGTCTATTTTAAGTTTATATTAGCAGATAATATAAGGCATAATACTAAGCGGTATAAAGTATTATATCTCTTAATAATTAAGTAATATATATTAGGCTTATTAATATAAAGAAGTCTTATTAATAGCTAATAAGCTAAAATCTATAAAAGTACTAATAAATATATTCTATATACTAAGGTTATAAAGTAAGGGATAATAGTATATAAGGATGCTATTATCCTAGAATATAGCATTCTAGGGACAACGGCATTCTAGTATTAGTTATCCTTATATAAACTATATTATAATTAATAATAAGGAAAGTAAATTTATAGGGTATATATAATATAACTGCAGGGGTTGTAATAAATTAAATAAATATATTAGATTATATACCTATATATTTTACTATTATTAAGATTGCCTATATTATAGTTATATACTAATTATATATAAAGAGATAGGCTAAGGTAGCCTGGTTAAAGCAGGCCAAGATAGACAAGTAGTAGTAAGAGGGCAGGTTATTAATTAAGAAGGAGGCTTAAAAGGAAATAAAAGAAAAGGCTATAAATATATTTTATATTATATATAAGAAGGTATAGCAGTTTATAATAGTTATATCTAGCAATATTAGGGCTAAGCTAGTATTAATAAATTAGATTTATAAGGTATATATATATAATATATATATCTAATTTAATATATTAATTAAGGGGATAATTAATTAGGTTAAGGACTATATTAAGCATTACTAGGTATAATTCTAGATAGGCAAGTTAATAAAGATATTATATTTATTAAAGGATAAAGTATAAGGGTTATTAATAATATTAGCTATAATAAATAATATTAGCTAGTTACTGTAAATCTTATAGTTATTATTTAAAAATAATTATAATAAAGATAAAATAAGGTATTTATTTTTAAAAGATAATTATAATTATATATAGTTAAAAGCTAATAAGAATTAGAGTTTATAGTAAATTACTAATTCTCTAGGCTATTAAAAGATTTAGTTTAATTATAAAAGAAAGAATAGAAAGCTATTTTAAGCCAGAGCAGTATAGTTATATAGGTAGATAATAAAGGAGTTAATAAAAAGGATATTTTTATTAATATATATAGTATTTAGCTAGCTAGTATAGGCTATAGAAATTTTAAGTATTTAATAAAAAAATATAATAAATAGTAATATATATAATATATTTCCCTTATTTATATTAATAGTGCACTGATGTTATAGCTAATTTGCTTATTTAGTTATATAATCTATCTCATAACTTATTTAATCCTCTTTTCGCCGCCAACGCCAAATTTAGTTATAACTTTAGGTCTTTAACTTTAGGCAACTAAACTTATATAAAACTTAATACATTTTTCCTCCAAACCCCGCGATTACCCCGCTTCTATCCTTACAGGTTCTCGGTCTTCTCTAGTACCTCCTTAGCCTGCTACTAGATATCCTTAAGCTACTTATTATGCAAGCCGCCGTTAAGGGCCCTAAGGAACCCCCTCTCTCTCCTACTTGGCTGCACCCCTCTACATAGCTTCCTTTCTAGATCCTTAAGCTTTTACTTCTTGTATTTAAGGAAGTCTTTATTAATTAGAGGGTTCTTATAGATAGACTATATAAGCAGGAGGATCTCATAACTAAAGATCGCTATCCTAATGCAGCTAGTATTATCCTTATTAAACCAGGCCTCTCTAATATCTATAGCCATTATACGCAGCATATCGCCCTTGCCCTTATTTCGCCTAAGAGCTTCTTCAATCTTAAGGATCATATCATGGCCTTCAGTCAGATAAGGCTTGTTAGGCCTGGGTGCCTGCAGGCTTCTTCAGATAGCAGGCATCGTGACGGGGCAGCTATGATGCTGTTAGCGGTTACGGCTAGAAGGGAAAGTCGGGTTGGGTCGGATAACTTACTGGTGAGTTTGCGGCGCGGTCTCTTATAGACAGGCTTTGGCTGACCTTAAAGCGGAAGCGTGATGGATGATTGAAGCGTGGTATCCTTTTAGGTGGGTTGTAGGAAGAAGGTTGGGGCCAGCTAATGAGCAGGTAAGGCTTTTCAGCTAGTATATATGCAGCTAGGTTTAGGCTGTAATTGAGGTAGCTAACTATAATAATTTGACTTAATGAAGCTTTGCCGGCTGTAGGGGCAATAAATATTTAAACTATATTAGACTCTAGAGATGCTTGGATATACCTTTTAAGGCTAACTTGTAAACTTAAAAAAAAAAAAAAAAAAAAAAAAAAAAAAAATAGACCTTAATATTAAATATAAAAGTTAGGTAAAGGAGTATAATTAGATATTAAATTATATTTATTAAATTATTTAATAATATAGCTAATAATTATTAGGTATTATATTAAATATTAGTTTATAAAGGCAGATTATTATAGCTATAGCATGCTAGTATTTAAATAAGGTATTTAAGGAGTTAATATTAAATAGCGATAAAGATAATAATATAAAGGATAATTTAATTAATTTATAAGCAGGTTATAGAATATATATAGCTAATATAGTATATATATAAGAAATACAGCAAGGGTTATTTAATATAGTAACTATATATAATAAGTTCAAATTAATTAGCTACTAGTAATATTAGTTATTAGAGTTCTAAGATAGTAATAAGTTTATTAATAAGGCTAATAGTAATATATAGCAGTAAAAGTAAAAGTAAGAGCTATTTAAGATAAAGTAAGAGTATAACTAGTTATAGCATTTTAAATAAATATAATAAGTTAATATTACTAGCTAATTAAGATAAATATTAAGTCTAGATATAGCATTTTATAGTTAATAAGAGGTAGTAATTTAGGCTATTATATAAGGCAAGAGTTTAATTATATAAATTATAGGTATAAGAGGGGGTAAAAGTATATTATTTATATTACTAATATATTATTTATTACAACCTATATAGCTACATTATATAGCCCCTATAATTTCTACCTATTATAGAAGGATTACTTCTCTTAATAATAATCCTCTTCTATTAAATTACTTAAATTATAATACTTTAAGACTAAATTACTATAGGTTATTAATAATCCTTAAAGATCTAACCTTTAGATTACTATTATTCCTTACTAAGCTATTAGGCTACCTTTAATATATAAGATATATTTATTAGCACTTTTATAAAACTTAGCTTACTAGCTATTAATTAAAGTATCTTTATATTAATAAGCCTAATATATATTACTTAATTATTAAGAGATATAATACTTTATAATACTTAGTATTATGCCTTATATAATCTGTAAATATAAACCTAATATAAATTAATTTACCTATTTAGAAAACCTAACTATTATATATTAATAGCTTTTATTTAAAATATACTATATAATACTAAGTAATACTAATATAATAGCACTTACTACTCTAATCTAGCCTTCTAACTTAGGATATGCCTAGCACTACCTATAGTAAGAAATACCCCTAACCCGGAAGACGTGCTTATAGAAACTAATAACAAAAATAAAGAAGCATTACCCCTGCTTATTTAAGTACTTATAAAGGGGAAGTCGCGAAACTTAAATATAGACTTAAGCATCTAGGCCAGTAATATAATAACCTCCTAGAAAACGCAAAGAATAGCTTTAATATAACTAAAAATAAAATTAAAAACCTAAAGAAGAAGGTAGCTAACCTCGCCGAGATTATAAAAGTACTTAAAAAGGAAGTAGAAAACAGTTAGAAACTCTATAAGGAGTATATTAAACATATTATAGCCCTTATAATAACTAGAAAAGACCCTAAAGAAATCCTTTAACCCTACCAGCCTAAACTATTTAATAGCAATACTAATAAACTTTAAAGATTCCTTACTAGTCTCTAGAGCTATTAAATATACTATTTTATTTAATTTATTATAAATAAACTAAGAGTTTAATATAATATAAGATTCCTTAAGGATAAAGTGCTATAATTAATAAAACCTATTATTTAAGATTATATTAATAAATTATATAAAAAATAATAAGAAATAATAAAATATATTTATAAGAAATATAAAAACTTTAAATTAAAGCTTAAAAACGCCTTTAAAGTAATAAATAAAAAACATATTATAAAAATAAAAATATAATAACTTAAACAGAGAGGATCTGCTATAAACTACTTAGCAAAATACTACTACTAAGTAGCCAAGCTTAATTAAGGAGAAGAAGCCTATATAATATAAGTATATTTAAGACTAAAGCCAGAAGTTAAGGATACTATAATTAATATTAGGCCTAAGCCTAAAAACTTAAATAAACTTATAAACATTACTATAGAAATTAATAACTAATAATATAAATAATATAAAGAAAGATAAGCAGAAAGATATAAAGGATTATATAATCCTTAGTAAAATACTAATAAATAATAAAATGCTAATTAAGGAAAAAAGAAATATATTAATATATAATATAAAACTAAACTAGGACTTATAATACTTAAAGCAACCTAATATAATAATAATAAAAGACCTTATAATATATCTAAAGTTAAATACTATAACTATAATTAGTTTAGATATATAGCTAATAAATATCCTTAATTAAGAAGGCCTAAAAATCCTAATTAAGGTAAGTAGATATTAGTAATAACTAATAAATAAAAACCCTAAATAGCTATATAAACTTAAGTACTAAAAATAATATAAAGCCTATATAATATAATAGCTTTATATAAAGGCATAATATTAAAATATAGCTAATACTTATACTTAAATAGCTTAATCTGTAAACTATAAGAAAAGTTTTTAATAAAAAAAATACTAAAGTAGGAAATATACCTTAAATCCTAATACTATATAAGATAAAGGCAATTAAATACTAAAAGGAATAGTAGAAAAACCTAGAAAACTAATAATAAGAAAAGGAAAAAGACTATACTTATTACCTTAAGAGAAAAGAAAAAAGAAATATAAGAAGATAGAATAAACCAAGATCCTTAAGATAATAAGGGAAGAAAGACCCTTAAAGCAGGAAATTAAAGGATACCTAAAAAACCTATAAGGAATAAGAATTACCTTTAATATAGGAAAATAACCTAAAGTATTTAAGATAATTAATACTATCCTAATCTAAATAACTATTTAAGAAAAAGAAAAAATAGTAAAAAAGGAATTTAAAGTAAGAAATAAGGTCTATATATACTATTAATAATATTCCTAAAGTATAGGATATAGAGGAGGAGTAATATAAAATACTGCATAATACCTTTATAAAGAAAATAAATAAATTAAAAATAAATAAAAGTAACCCTATAAACTACTATTTAATAAATATAATAGTAAGATATATACCTTAATAGAAAATAGATATTTATAGGGAGTTAGGGAATATAGTAATATTAATAAACTTAAGAACTTATATATTTAGGCTTATTATATAGTAAATACTATAAACCCTTATTATAAAGAGCTAAAATTTAATACTAAAGATATTATAAAAACATTTTTAACCTATCTAAAATATAGTAAACTATTATAGCTATTATATAAATACTATTAATATAAGGTATATAAATAAGAAAAAGAAAATAATAATTACTTTCTTATTATAATTCCTAATATACCTAATAATAATCCTTATTAAAAATAGAAATAAAAGGATACTTAATATATTACTAGTATAAAAACCTTAAAGTAATAGAATTATAATTTAATATATCTTATTACTAATAAATCTATAAAATAAAGAAACTTTATAAAGGAATTTGGCAATCTTAATAAATAATTAAAGAAGCTAAAAAAGAATATAATAATATAATTTAAATAAAACAGTAATAAACTTATAACCTAATTAACCCTAGGTATATTAAAAGAAATATAGATAGTAAAGGATTATTAGAGTTTGAAATCTATATACCTAAAGACTTTAATATATATACTAATCTATAATACTTTTATAATTATAATAGTTATAAGGAATAAGAAGAGGAGAAATAATAAAGGTTAATTAATAATATAAGTTTAGATACTACTAAAAAAAGATTAAAGCCTTAAAAGGATAGAGAACTTAAGATACTAATAAAAATTTTTAAGAAACTATATAGCACTAAAGGAAAACCTACTAATAAGTAAAAGAAGGCTTAAAAACAATATAGCAGATATAAATAAGAACTTATAAAGGAATAATAAGAACTTATAAAGGAATAATAAGAACTAAGTAAGGTAAATTACATTAAAGGATATATAGACCTAGAAATATATTACTAAAGTTACCTTAATAATATTAAAGTATTATATAATAGGTAAATAATAAAATTAAAAGGATATAAGATATACCTAAAGATGCCTAAAGAATAATATAAAGAATTAGAAAAATACTTTTAATAATAATTATTTAATAATAAATTTATTAATAACTATATTAATAGTAAGGGTTACTATAATAGTAATTGCAAATAAACTTACTAGGATGCCTTAAGAAAAGTAATATGCCTTCTGTAATAATAAAGCTATAAAAAAGTAATAGATAGAGATAAAAAAGAACTATACCTATAAGTGCTTTAAGAGTAATATAAGATAATAAACCTAATTGCCTAGTATTATAAGTTTAGATTAAGGGAAGATAGCTAAATATATAGATTAATAGTAAAGTAAAGAAGAACTTTATTAATTTAAGAATAATTATAAAGCTAGGATTACTATAAAAAAAGAAGTAACTGCCATACTAACTTATTAATATAGAAGGGCAACTCTTTAATTATAATAATAATATAATAAATTAAGAGATTAATTACCTTAAGGTCTTTATTAAAGGAAAAGATTAAGGAATAAGTTTTAATATTATTCCTTTAAGAGAAGAGATAAATATTATCCTTAAAATAAACTGGCTTAAATAATAAAACCTATATATTAACTAGAAGACTAATTAAGTTATATTTCCTAATAACCCTAATAGTAATAGTAAAATAATTATAATAAGTAATAAGAGATTTTAATTTATAACTAAGAGGATTAGTATAGACTGGCATAAAGTAAAGACTTTACTACCTCTAAAAGGAATATAATATAAGTATAAAACAGGCTAAAGA